TACTATTTTTTTTTTGATTGCTTTATTGCTTGCCTAGTGACGGTAGCCGCGGGTAACACCTACAGCCCCGTTAAAGTTTTGTCAGGAGAAATTATTATTTTGAGAAACATGGAAGTCACAGGACTAAAATGTTATGGGTATGTCCCCTCCCCATGTGCGACCCAGAAAACTTAAATTCAGCTTTCCCGTGCGTTTCGATCACGACTCCGTGAAAGTTTTTTGGGGGAGGAGGGGGGGAGGGAAGGAGGGGGGAGAAAACTACCCCGGAAGCCATGGAAACTAGGAAGCTGGAATTTGGCACGAATGTTTCCTTCCCACGTACAACTCCATCGCAGACGGATCCAGGACGAGTTCCTGGGGGAACGACGAGGGTGAAGGAGGAGTGGAGCCTCGGGTGGGGGACGACAGGAGGTGGGGGTAGTCCGCTTCCACCCTGGACCTGTGCAAAAATTAGGTATAGGGTTGTAACACTGCTATTTAGACTTGCTTTAGTTTTGCTCATGAACAGACCGGGGCTTTTAGAACACTGGTAACTGCGCCGCTGGGGCGAGAGAGAGGTAAGAGACCCTTCGCCCCTCTCCTTTCCCTCCTGGATTCTCCTATGAACCCCGTAAATTCAAATCAGTTCTGAGTCAAGCCTGGTCTCAGTTACGCTCGTGTGAAAGTTTCGGTGGGAAAAATTATTTCGAAAGCCAAAGTAGATAGCTGAAGTTTTGGGCAATGTGACTTCGCAGAATTAAATTCAGCTTTCCTTTACGCTTGGGCCTCATGTATGGCTCCGCGAAAGTTTTGGTGGAGAAAATTATTATCTCGGGAACTAGAAGAGCTATGAGGCTGAAATTTTAAGAAGGTATTTTCTGCCTATGCAAATACCTTTCAAACTCAGATCTAGCTCCCAAGTATTCACAGGTCTTATGTACTGCTACATGAAAGTTTTGATGTGAAAGTCACTAACTCGGTAGCCTGAAAACTAGAAGCTTGAAGTTTGGAAGGATGACCCCCATCCATGTTTTCAAATTCAGCTTTTGTGTACCGGAACGTGAAATTTTCAGTAGGGGATTCCTCACATTAGGAGCCAGACAGCATATCGACTATTTTTCCATACACGAGCGTGTAAAACAGTTATACTTTTATAGTAAGCAAAAATCCGCTAGACGGAACTGCGCAAAACACATGATCGCACCGGCTTTCTGGTACGTGCCGCTATTTATTTTTGTTCTTTTTCAAAAAGCCGTGTATGTTGTTTCAGAAGTCTGTTTTCTCTGTTTGGCATTGAAGTCACAGAAACATTGTCTATTTATGTATGTATGTTTTATGCATGTGTGTATAGTGTGTATGCGTATGTATGTGTCTTTTGTTGTAACATTGTGCTAATTTCCTCTCAGTAATGTTTGATATCTTCTTTTTCGATTTCTTCACAGAACTCCTTATTCTTTTCATTCCCTGTCGCTGAATTGGACTGATGAACTGCCATGAGCTTTGCTAAGGACTGTCTGCTGATCAACTGCAAAAATAGTTTTGCTGATCGTGTGCAACTTCACAGTGAGAGCAGTTTCTCCAGCCTCTTTTTCGGTCTCGTCTGTCATAACTTGTTCGCCTTCGCTCCATTTTGCAACCAGACCTGCTTCGCGTTCGGCCTCACTAATGGCAAAAATACCATGGCGTGCGTTCCGGAATTCCTTTACCAAAATATTCATTGTAGGGCTACTCGTAAGTACTTATGTGCCGTGGAAAATACAATTATTTATTCATACACACGGCTGACGCTCTTAAATTTGCTTTGATCGCTGTGACATTACCAGACGTTTACGGGAACCTTCGATCAGTCTTTTCTTTTTTTTTTACACTTGTTCTGTGTTCGCCATGAAAAACTGCGCTTCTCTTAGTCTTAGAAAAAAGGAATCTTTAGAACTAAGGACAAATTTGAC